CTAGATGGTCCCAAGGTACCACTGCTGATGACTCTAAAAGGGGTCACAATAGGAGGTCCTGGATAGAGTGGGTGAAAAATGGGGAACAAAACTCAAAATCATAAAAAAGACCAGGCTTACTTGTCTGATAGAGACTGGTGGAAACCCCAAATGCCCTTAGACGCACTTCAAGCCTAGAACTGAACATACCCACATGGCTCAACTTTTAACTAAATAATAGACAAGCCTATAAGGTGAACAATAACACTAGGGAGATATGCACTTAGAGTAATCAACCATGATAGATCAAAAGGGCAGAGTATGCCCAGGGATAAAGCTAAGAAAGCAGGAAGAGATAGGAAAGAAGGATGGAGGAAAATGGTGAACACAAGGGGGAAGTGGGAAGAGTGCTGCTACATTGTGGGGATTGCAATCAGTGTCACAAAACAAAATATTTATGAATTGTTGAATGGAAACCCAATTTGCTCTGTAAACTTTCACCCAAGTCACAATTTTAAAAATTTAAAATGAAGAAAAGTGGTAAGACTGCATCCTGTCAAAGATGGAAAACTTGGGAGACCTGGCATAACAAGGCAGTCCCATCAAGTTCCAGCTCTTACAAGTTTCACTGTAGATAGATAGATGATGATAGATAGATATAGATAGATAGATGATAGATAGATAGATAGATAGATAGATAGATAGATAGATAGTGATGAATGGATGGATAATGAATAGATGGATGGATGACGAATGGATGGATGGATGGATGGATAGATAGACAGATAGATAGATAGATAGATAGGACTGGCAATGGGAAAAGTGAGTGAGAGTTCTGCCAAAATATCTGTTTGCAGTCTGGAGGCAGAACAGCCCTCTAGTGAAACTTCCTTTTTACTCTTAAGACCTTAACCTGATTGATTGATCATGTTACATTACAAAAGAAAATCGGCTTTACTTAAGACCAACTGACTTAATCACACACAACCACTTCATAAAAGTGGCACAGCAGTTAATCTCTGAAAGGTCAGTAGTTTGACCCCACCAGCAGTGTTAGCAGTGGCTACCTCTATTATAATTACAGCTATCTGAGCCAAGAAATGCTTCTAGCTTCAGGGGGCTGTGAGCAAGACACAGAGCTGAAGCCCAAGGTTGAGGGGCTTTCAACCAGCCCTAGGGCTGGCACTTTGAACTCAGACTTCTAGCCTTCTAACCTGTAAGAGAATAAACCCCTGTTTGTTAAAGTCAATACTCTCTGCTACAGGTGGTAAGAATAGTTAGAACTCTCTTCTGCCAACCGTTGCGGATTCAAGTTCACCCAGAGGCACCTTGGAAGAAAGTCCTGGTGATCTATTTCTGAAAAATCAGCCATTGAAAACCCTATGGAGCACAGCTCTACTCTGACACACAGGATTGCCATGAGTTGGAATTGACTTGATGGCAACTGATTTTTTTTTAATATGCAGCTCAGCAAGAAAGCAGACTCTGAAAGATACTCAAACAGGAAAGAAGAAATAAAGAAGGGCCTAGTTCTGTTAACCAGAAAGTCCCCACTTAACCAGAACACCCCATTTCCCAGCAATCATCTGGACCTCTATTATAATTACAGATTACTTGTATTCTTCTTTTTCTCTTTTCATTTAACTGATTTTTAAATGTTCCTACAATGAATAGATACTGCTTGAATATTTGTGTCCAAGAATGAGAATGAATAATGAGAGTAAGGAGTCTCTGTGCCTTGCCCTATGCAGTGCATCATGGGCATTACAACAGGAGACTGATTATATGAGATACCCATCCAAACAAACAAACAAACAAACTCACTGCCATCGAGTTGGTTCCAACTTATAGCGACCCCTTTGGGTTTCCGAGGTGGTAGATCTTTATGGAAGTAGATTGCCCGGTCTTGCTTCCACAGAGTGATTGCTAAGTTTGAACCTCCAACCTTCTGGTTAGCAGTCAAATGCCTTAGAACTAAGCCACCAGAGCTCTCTTGAGGTGTCCATAGTGCTCAGTAAATGTTCATCAAGTGAATGAATGAATGAATGACTACAGTGGGTCATTTTATGACTAGTCTCTATGTTGCCACTCTCATTTTACACTCAGTATATCAGCAACGCACACTCAAAATATTTTCATCTCCATTAGCGTGACAGCCAGCTAAGTGCTTTTGAGCCAAACAGTTACCTTTTCATTTTAACTTCCCTCTCCCTACCCTCCCCACATCTCCTCTCTTATTAATTAGATAGGGAAATACATGGCCACAGATGCCTTGGGACCACACAATTTTTGAGAAACAGTTTAGGCATACAAAGTTGAAAGGAAAACAAAATACAGAAAAAGAAGAATCAGTAATTTTCCACAGATCTAGGAGCAGTTGCTTTATTGAAAAATTGCAAAAAAAAAAAAGCTACAAGACCAGTACTCTGTCTTCAGAGACACTGATTGCTCTGTGTGTGTGAGATGATCAGGGTCCCCAGTAATCTGTGGCTTGATGACTTGTCTCTCACTTGATCCTACTTGTAAGGTGCAAAGATGTCTGTGTGTATATGTATGTATTGTGTGTATATGTGTATGTATGTGTGTGTGGTGTGTGTATATGTGTATGTATGTGTGTGTGTTGTGTGTATATCCATGTATGTGTGTATGTATGTGTGTATGTGCTTTATATTATGTACATGGATGTGTGTGTGTGTTTGTGTGTATGTGTGGTATGTGTGGATGTGTGTATATGCATGTGCATATGTTTATGTTTGTATGTGTGTTGGTATGTGTGAGTGTATGTGTGTGTGCTAGACACCACATGGATATGAAATCAAGACCATGTAGTTGCATGAATGGAATTTGGGATGCAGTTCAGAATTTAATTTAAATTTGTGGGAACAAATTTAAGTACTGGGGATATTTAATGCAGTGACTTCATTAATTGTAATTTTTTTAACAAGTGCTAAAATCTTACATACTTTAAACCCAGAGGGAGCTTTAGAGGTCATGTACACTAGCCAACTCATCTAACAAATGAGAGAATCAGGGCCCAGAGAGTGGAAAAGGGCTGCCCAATGCCACACAGGGAGCCGGCAGCACTGCCTGTTCAAAGGGTAAAAGTGAAATATCTTGAGGAGAATGTTCACATGCTTTCAAAAGGATTCCTTAGAATCCTCTAGGAACAATATGATGCCTTATGAGGCCCTCAGCAATCATGTTTCTCCATCAGTTCATACCAAAACCACTGTTGGGATGTAGCTATCTGGGTCCTGAAGGCCAACCCAGGTCCCATTTGCTAAATGCAGGCATTATCTGCAGAGAAAGAGACTATTCAATAAAAGCGTGGTGGATAACAAGGCAGAGGATTGGACAACCAAGAGAAGATCCTGCTAACATCATGAATAAAGCAAAATCTGGTGTGCCACATAGAACTGAAAAGTGGACATTGGGCGATAAGAGCCAGAGAAAAGCCTTTTGTGCATTAAGCTAATGATCCCTCACTCTGGTGCTCCAGCCAGACCCTCAACACTAACAGCTTCCTTCAGGTTCCTGACCCTACCATGTGACCTCTCCAGACTCATCTCTCAGGCTCCTATAGTTCTCCAACCATGCCATTCTCTCCCATGCCACTGCCTTTGTATTTTCTGTGTCCTCGACAATGTTCATTATTTCCTCATATAATCCATCTAGTGAACTCCTTGAAAAGTCTACTTGTTGTCACCACCTCCAGAGAGCAACAGTCCCTGCACCCCACTTCAGCAGAGCTGGCACCTGTCTCAGTTTCCTAGTGCTTCTATAACACGAATCCTGCAAGTGAGTGGCTTTAAAGAACAGAAATTTATTTTCTCACAGTTCTGGAGGCTGAAAGTCCAAATCAGGGTCTCAGCCTTGTCAATTCCCTATCCTCGGTTCTTGGCAGTCTTCACATGGCAGCTTTTCCCCTATCTGTGTGGGTGCTCATCCCCTTATCTATCCTGCTCTTCATATAACTCAAAACTGATTAGGTTTAGGCTCCACCCTCACTGGTATGACCTCAACTGATTTATTAATGACATTACCTTGGATTGCATTGTGAAAGATGATTACATTATATTAGGTGAAACATCATTACATTACAACCACAGGTATAAGGGTTAGGATTCCAACACATATATTGAGAGGAACACAATTCAATCAATAATATCACCTCTTCTTCTTCCAGCTGTGTACGTCCCTACAACAGCCATCTTCATGAGTTTAGTGGTGTCCCTTTGCATAATTGGTTCCCTTTGTAGAAAGGAGCTCCTATTCATCTGAGACTCATCCTGTTCATTTCCAAAATCCAAGCCTTAGGCCTATACTACTTATTAGCTGTCCACAAATAAATGAACAAATGGATTTCTGAAAAAGCATATTAGTTATCTACTACTTTGTAATGAAGTACCAGAACTTAGTAGCTTAAAGCAACACACACTTATTATCTCACAGTTTCTGTGGTCAAGGGTCCAGGCACAGTTTAACTGGGACCTCTGCTCAGGGTCTTACAAGGCTAAAATCAAGTTATGTGGGCTGAGCTGTGTTCTCGTCTGGAGGCCCAATTGTTAAAAGAATCTCTTCCAAACTCACTGGGGTTGTTGGCAGAATCTGTTTTCTTATGGTAGTAGAATTGAGGATGCTTGCTTCTTGCTGGTTGTCAGCTGGAAACCACCCCAAACTCCCAAAGGCTACTGTGAGCTCTCTGCCACATGGATTCCCAGCATAGCTTCTTACTTCATCAATGCAGCAAGGAGAGTCTCTAGAGAAAGTCCGCTAGCAAGGCAGAGTCATATCTGATGTAAAGGAATGGTAGAAGTAACATCCACACCTTTCCCATTGGTTAGAAACAAGTGTCAGTTTCCACCCACATCAAGTAAAAGGGGTGATACAAAGGCATGAAGGCAGCAATCACGGGAGCTACCTTAGAGCCTGTCTGCCGCAAAAGGAATGTAACCTTGACAGTAGATTCTTTACCTCTTCAAAGTTTCCCTTTTACTCCTCCTTTGTGTTGTCTCTTGCAGGTGGCTTTGCTGCTGCTCGCAGATCAGTTCTGGAAGAAGATGCAGCTCCAGTGGCCCAAGATCCTTGGAAAGGAGAATCCATTCAACTCCCAGATTGAAGACGTGTTTGGAGATCAAGGGGGGCACTGAATCCTCAGCAACACCCATTCCTGGGGAGCCCAGGGAGGCCGAAACTTGTGTCAACTTATCAACTCATTCTACAAATGATAATGGGGACTGTTCTGTCACAGTCTATAGAACCTTCTTTAAAAGTATCTGTGCAAAGTGCTTTATTCTCAGTTAAGAGCAAATCTGAATGACAGTGTGATTGTGGGTGCTTCCGGGATCAGTTTCCAAATTTCTTACCAAATGTCCCTCAAATAAGCTTTAGTAAAGTATATTGAGTGCCATTCCAAATAAGACCCTATTGATGCCCTCTAATAACTAATTCTTCTAAAAGAGGCTCCAAAAAAGAAGGAAAAAAAAAATCCAAGTGTTTAGCAACTTACCCAGGGTTCAAGTGTGCTGGGAAACTGATCCTCCCCTCATTGTTGACTTCGGAAAGATGGCTAGGCTAGCGGAGGCTTCTCCTAACATGACTGCAGCAACCTGCCAAGGACTCTCAGAAGTAGGTAGAGTCCAGGTTTTGAGGGGCAGTCTTTCAAAAAGCACAAAATTAGGTACAAATTTGAATATTTATTTAGAATAAGAAAAGAAATCACAACAAATCACAAATTTTAAAATGTTGACAAAACTTTTTTAAATGATCATTTTTTTCTTAAAATTTTTTTCTTACTTTCTTTGACTGCATAATCTGATCACATCTTCTCATAACAATGACTCTGTAATATTATTCTCTATAGAAAAAATATAAAAATAAAATCTGTTACTTATTATTGATAGTTTAGAAGGTTTCTTTCAGCTACACAATACACCATTTGGTAAAGTCATATAAATTCATAACGTTATTGTCAGATGGGAAGGCTTCTATCAAATTTCTTTTGTCTCTGAGCTTCCCATCCCTGGTGTGGCCTCCTGTGAGAAGTGCCAGAAACTGTATCAGAGCTCCATGAGATGGGAAATTGGTCAGTCATGTTCATGACTGAATCCATAGATCCTTCAACAATGCCTGGCTTACTGCAAGTGCTCAATACAAAAGGTAAGATGGACGGATGGATGGACAGATGGGTGGGTGGGTGGGTGGAAATATATTGTTCCTCTCCAGGTCACATTTTGTTACTTCTTTCTACTTAAAAACAAAAATGCAGCCTCTTCTTTGACATATTTCAATCAGATTGATTAAACCACACTCCTTGTAGTGGGAAAGGTAGGAAAGAAAAGCAGTCAACAGAGAGGCTGCCTTCCTCTGGGACACCCTTGGTGGGGAGTCTTTTGGATTTAAGTTTTTATTAAAAAATCTCAGGTCCCCAACCAAAGCAGGTCAGCTAAAAATCTTTAAACGAGATTTGTATTGATACTCAACATAGCAGGATCTAAGTCCTACTTACTCCCACCTAAATAATTTGCAATGGCTTCCCTACCTTGACCATTCACTGATTTAATCCCACAAGAGTCCATGGGGATCCCCAGGATTAAGAGCACCCATGAACTTGAATGAGGAAAAAATTAAATCTTCACTATACTCTAACTCTCAAACTCAAAACCAAGCTCACTGCCGTTGAGTTTGATCTGACTCATAGTGACCCTTCCTTGTTTCCTGGGCACTATCACTATGGAAGTAGATTGCCCAACTTTCTTTCCAAGGAGTGACTGGTGGGCTTGAACTGCCAGCCTTCTGGTTAGCAGTCAAATGCCTTAGGCAATACACCACCAGAGGTCCCATCCTCTAACTAACTGCAGCATTTTCTTCAATTCTGACTGTGGTCAACAAAACACAACTATATTAGCTATCTTCATCCACAAGTAGTTTCATATCACATTACATTTGTTGTAGGTATCTTAAAATAGTATCTAAGACCATACTACTTTGAAATAACTGTAGTTATTAGATAGGCCACTGGATCTTGTTAGTTAATGCATATGCAAAATGCATTAACTAATGGATGTCCATTTTATAAATATTCTTCAATATTTTTATATTTTATTTCAATAGTTTCCTCTGCAATTCTATGTAGGTTATTTTTTTGTATTTGAAAATGGAATTCTGATAAATAGACTGTCAAGCACAACCCAAAATGCAAACAGCTGAAGATAAACTAGATGAATGGGACCTTCTAAAAATTAAATTTTTATGTGCCTCAAAAGACTTCTTCCAAAGAGTAAAAAGAGAACCTACAGATTGGGAAAATAATATTCGGCAACAGCATATCTGACAAAGGACTTACCTCTAAAATTTATAGAAAACTTTTACACCTCAACAAGAAAAAGACAAAAAATCTGGTTAAAAAAATGGGCAGAAGACACGAATAAACATTTCACCAAAGAGAATATACAGACAGCCAAAAAACACATGAAGAAATATTCACGATCATTAGCCATCAGAGAGATGCAAATCAAAGCAACAATGAGATACCATCTCACCCCAACACTAATGGTAAAATTCCCCAGGACAGAAAATAAATGCTGGTGAGGATATAGAGAGATTGGGACTCTCGTACACTGCCTGTGGGACTGTAAAATGATGCAACCACTGTAGAAAACAGTACGGTGATTCCTTAAAAAGTTGGAATTAGAAATACCATTTGACCCAGAAATCCCATTACTAGGAATATATTCTAAAGATGTGAGAGCCAGGACAAGAACAGATATATGCACATCCATGTCCATCAAAGCACTGTTTACAATAGCCAAAAGAGGGAAACAACCTAGGTGCCCATGAACAGAAGAATTGATAACCAAATTATGGTACACACAAACAATGGAATACTATGCAACACTAAAGAGTAATATAGAATCTACAAAACACTACATAATGTGAATGAACTTAGAGGACATTATGGTGAAATAAGTCAATCACAGAAGGACAAATACAGTATTAATTCATTACTATAAAAAGTCAAGGAAAGGTTTATATATGGAAGTAAACCTTCTTCATTGGTTACCAGGGGTGGAAGGGGAGGGGAGGAAACACTGCTAGATAGGGAGAGACAAGTATTGATTTGGATGAAGGGATGGGCAAAACACAACTATATTAGCTGTCTTTATCACAAGTATTTTTATATCACATTACATTTGTTGTAGGTATCTTAAAATAGTATCTATGATCATATTACTTTGAAATAACGGTAGTTATTAGATCTACCACTGGATCTTGTTAGTTAATACATATGCAAAATAATGCATGCATTAATGGATGTCCATTTTATAAATATTCTTTAATATTTTTATATTTTATTTCAATATAGTTTTCTCTATATTGAAGGAATATAGAGAGTGATATATATGTGAGTGATCAACATGGTAGCATTGAGAAAAAGGAAAACAGAGAGGTACATGGGAGGTATAGACAACAAAGATGAACCCTTTTACATGTACAGTATTGCATTGCCAGTGATGGAAAGCATTGATGGTTAGCTGGGTGGGCAGGTTGAATGATCAGATATGTCTAGGCAGGGGGTAGTGTGCCCATGACCATATATAGGGTTAGCAGGCAATGTTTCTACATGCATAGTTGTATGTGCTGTAAGAATGTCCAGGTATATAGTAAAGCTGACAACGGACAAGGTTGTGATGTCTTCTTAGCCACAGCCAGCTACCCAGAGGGAGCGAGTAGCAGGACTTGTGGGCTCAGGACCATGGTTGCAGGGGATATCAAGCTCAACTGGCATAATATACTACACAAAAACATTGTTCTACAACCTACTTTGGTAAATAGCAACTGGGATCTTAAAAGCTTGCAAGCAGCCATCTAAATGCAATGATGAGTCTCTCCTTGTCCAGAGCAAAGAATAATGAAAAAAACCAAAGACAAATGGAAAAATTAGTGCAAGGGACTGGTAGACCATGTGATTCTCAGCCTATTTGACTATGAGACCAGAAGAACTGGATGGTGTCCAGCTACCACTGTCAACCACTCAGTGGGGGACACCCTTGGTGGGGAGTCTTTTGGATTTAAGTTTTTGTTAAAAAACTGTATGGAGTGGGAGAACAATGTGGAACAAAACTCAAAATCATCAAAAACAGGCCAGGTTTGCTGGTCTGATAGAGCCTGGTGAGACCTCTGAAACAATGGCCCCTAGCTATCCTTCAGGTCTGGAACTGAACTCACTCTTGTGGCTTCCAGCCAAACAATAGACAGGCATATGGGGTGAACATTTACATCAGACAGATACACTCCTTGGAACAATCACTCATAGGAGAACAGAAGGGCAGTGTTTGCACAGGGAGACAGCTCAGGTGAGGCGGGAGTGCATGAGACAGAAGGACACAGGGAAGCGGTAACTACAAGGAGGAAGTGGGAAGAGAGCTGTTACATTGTGCAGAATTGCAGTCAATGTCATGAGACAAAATGTGTATGAACTGCTGTATGAAAAGTGAATTTACTTGTAAACGTTCACCCAAATTACAATAAAACTATAATTTAAAACAAAAACAAAACAAACAAACAAACAAAAAAAAAAAAACGGCATTCTGAGAAGGGCCCAGCCTTCTCTAGAATGCCATGCGTGGGGAGAAGGGGTTCATGATATAAGACGTTTGCAGCTCTAGGGTGTGGAGCTTTGAGAAGGTTGTTGTTGTTGTTGTTAGGTGCCGTGGATTCATCTCTGACTCATAGTGACCCTATGCATAGCAGAAAGAAACACTGCCCAATCCTGTGCCAGCCTCATGATCCTTGCTATACCTGAGCCCATCATTGCAGCCACTTTGTCTATCTATCTCGCTGACCGCCTTCTCCTCTTTCGTTCACCCTCCACTTTACCAAGCATGATATCCTTCTCTAGGGAATGGTTCCTTTTGACAACACAACCAAAGTAGGTGAGATTAAGTCTGGTCATTCTCACTTCCAAGGAGCATTCCAGCTGCATTTCTTCCAGGACAGTTTTGTTTATCCTTTTAGCAAACCATGGTACTCTTAGCATTCTTCTCCAACACCACAACTCAAAAGCATTGACTATTCTTCAGTCTTCCTTACTAATTATCGAGCTCTCACATGCATAAGAGGCAATTGAAAATATCATGGCTTGGCTTAG